AAAAAAAAAAAAAAAATCACACTGTGACCTGGAGAGGACCCTCGGGAGGGAAAAGAGACCCAGAACGCTGGCCACAGGCACCCAGCATGGAGGGGTGGCCAGAGGGATGCCCAGCAGGGGAGGGGGGCTGTGGAGCTAGAATGTTCCAGAAGTCAAGGAAAGGGCTCGGTCAAGTCAGGGGTAGGATGCATGGCCACAGAGCTAGGCAAGGGCCAAGATCTTGGTGACCCAGAGGTGACTGGTGCCTCTGATGAGGCAGTCCCCACCCTGGAGGGCTGGTCAGGGCTAGGACCACCCCCAACGGCAGACCCTCCCCTGAGTGCAGACAGAGTCCCTGGAACCAGGTCAGATCTCACAGCCTTGACACAGAGCCACCACCTCCACACGGGCACCCCGCAGGGGCAAGATTCAGATGGAAGCAAAACTCACTCCCCACCCCCAACCAGGGCCCTTTGCCAGTCCAGTCCCTGCACCCAGATAATAAGTCTCCCACAGCAAGAACCGCAGCTCAGAGTGAACCATCTTCAGCTTCAAGACTCTGCTGAGACCCACGACTGAAGCTGTGACCAGAGGTCTGGGGACAGCCCCCTTGGCTCAGGACATAGCCTGTGCCCACGCAGGCTAGGTGGTCATTCAAGGGGTTTGGTGCCCATGTCCCTCCCGACCCCTGCCCAAGGGCAGCCTTGTGCATGCTGAAGTGTGTCTGATGCCTTCCCTGTGGAACAGTCTATCGATGTAGCAGTGAGACCTCGACAAGGTCAACCAGTCTCCCTGGACCGGAGTGGGCCTCTGGCAGCCCCGCCCCACACTCTGGGCCAGGCGGACAGGGAGGGGCTCTGGATGCCGGTGCCATCCTGGCCCTCACCCCTCCAGCTTCCTCCTGCTCTGGAGCGCTGTTCTCATCATGTACCCCACCAGCCTGGCTGTCATCTCCATGACCTTCTCCAACTACGTGCTGCAGGCGGTGTTCCCCAACTGCATCCCCCCTGCCGCCGCCTCCCGAGTGCTTTCCATGGCTTGCCTGAGTGAGTGCCCGGCCTGGGCCCTATCCCCGAGCGGTCGCCGGCCTGCGCCCCGCCCTGCTCCCTTCCCTTAGTCGGGGGACCGTGGGAGGGGCCTCCCCGGAGGCCTCAGCCTCGGGGTCCGGGGTCTCGCTTTCCAGCTACTGCAGGGGACGCTGTTCTCCTGCCCCCGGGGGGACTTGGCCGCGGCCCCCTGGGAGGAGTCCCGCCCTCAGGCGCCCCCTGCCCTTCCCTCCCCAGTGCTCCTGACGTGGGTGAACAGCTCCAGCGTGCGCTGGGCCACACGCATCCAGGACGTGTTCACGGGCGGGAAGCTGCTGGCCCTGTCTCTCATCATCAGCGTGGGCTTTGTCCAGATCTTCCGAGGTAGGGCCCGGTGGGGTTGTGGACGCGGCTGGGGAGACGGGGCTGACTCCCGACTTCTGGGCCCCCAGGACAGTTCGAGGAGCTGGTACCCAGCAACGCCTTCGCCTTCTGGATGACGCCCTCCGTGGGTCACCTGGCCCTGGCCTTCCTCCAGGGCTCCTTTGCCTTCAGCGGCTGGAACTTCCTCAACTATGTCACGGAGGAGATGGTTGACCCCCGAAAGTGAGTGAGGCTCCCAGCCAGGCCTCGAGAAAGGGCTCGCACCCACCAGTAGGAGAGGCAGCCTCTCCCCGCGACTGGGAGGGCTCTGGAAAGGGAGCCGGGCCCCGGGGTGCTGGCCTGGCCCTCTGCTTTCTGGCTGTGTGCACCACGGCCCCTCACGGGGCCTCCGACAGACCGTCCTTGTCCTGCTGTCCGTGCGTTCAGCAATTTGCGTTTGGCCACAAAGGACACGCGTGCACACAATATGGTCCCTACAGCGAAGCCCATGATGGCCTCTGATGAACAGCCAGAGATCTCGGCCGTGAACAGTTGCCGCTGAGTGGGCTGGGGCGGGAGAGTCCCCGGGGAGACCCTAGGCCTATGGACGGGGCTCTGAGGCCACCTGGGGCTTTTCAGGTGGATTTTGGCTGTGTGCGATTCTGTCTGTATGCCCGAGTCGGACGCTCCCCTCAGGGTACGGCGTGGCCTCGCCCCCTCTACTCTTCCTTCCGTCGGCCTGCCCAGGTGGGGAGGGGAGGGTGGACAGCAGGGCCGCTGTGTCCCCTGCCGCGATGCCGCCCCCTCTCCTGCTCCAACACTGCCAGCAGATGCAGGGGACGGGACTCAAAGCCGCTCCTGTGGCTGGGTCCTCGAGCCCACACCCGCCCAGGGCTGGCACTGACAGCTCCACTGCCTCCCCTTCAGGAACCTACCTCGCGCCATTTTCATCTCCATCCCGCTGGTGACCTTTGTGTACACGTTCACCAACGTCGCCTACTTCACGGCCATGTCGCCCCAGGAGCTGCTGTCCTCCAACGCCGTGGCTGTGGTGAGTGGGGTCCCCCGCCGGTGCCCGGCTCCTGTCCCAGCTCCGGCCTCCACCTCACGCACGGCCTCTCTTCTGTGTCCATCCAGACCTTCGGGGAGAAGCTGCTGGGCTACTTTTCTTGGGTCATGCCTGTCTCCGTGGCACTCTCCACTTTTGGAGGGATCAATGGCTACCTGTTCACCTCCTCCAGGTGCCCGGACTGGGGAGAGGGCGGGTGTGGAGAGGGAAGGCAGGTGCCCGGGTGTGCGCCAGCTGTGCTAAGGGTCAGAGGAAGGGACACCCTGCCAGGGAGAGGACGCAGCTTAAAGCTGGGGTGGTGAACCCACCAGTCACGAGTGTCTGATCCCAACTCTGAGGTCAAGAAAGCAAGAAGGAGGTGGGGTAGACGAGGGGAAGAACTGCCCAGCAGGGCTGCGGAAGTCTGGAGTGGGTCAGGGGCGACAGCTCAAGAAAAAATCATACTCAGAGCTGAGGTCCAGGACGTGGCTGGCACCCAATCTGTGTCCCCACTCCCCAGGCTGTGCTTCTCTGGAGCCCGAGAGGGGCATCTGCCCAGCCTGCTGGCCATGATCCACGTCAGACGCTGCACCCCTATCCCTGCCCTCCTCGTCTGTGTAAGTCGGGGAATCCGGGCCAGGCAGGGCGTGGAGCCAGGGCTGCCCAGTCGTGTGGGACTTTCTGGGGAACGGCAGGGATGAGCCCCTGGCCGTGGTGGGCGGCCCCTGGGAGGGTGGGGAGGGGCTGGAGCTCACCCGACCTCCCGGCCTGAGCGGGCAGGCTCGGGGCAGCCCGCGGGGCGACAGGGGACAGGCGGCAGGCCAGCTGCAGCCTCGGGTCCTCTCCCAGTGCGGGGCCACGGCCGTCATCATGCTCGTGGGCGACACATACACGCTTATCAACTACGTCTCCTTCATCAACTACCTCTGCTACGGTGTCACCATCCTGGGCCTGCTCGTGCTGCGCTGGAGGCGGCCAGCGCTCCACAGGCCCGTCAAGGTGAGGCCCCAGGGTGGACAGACGGACAGATGTGCCAGGGCCTGTCGCAGCCACCCCTGCATCTGCTTTGGGTGCCAGGTGACAACAACGGTGACTCCAGCTTTTGCCGAGTCCTGAGCCCTTACACGTTCAGTTGCCACGACCACCCCGAGAGGAGGAGGCTTTTAATGCTCCTGGGTTATAGGAGTATTAAAAAAGGAGGCCCGGGAACCCACTTAAGGCCATCTGGGCTGCCGATGGTAACTCCACGAGCCCACACAGAGAATAGGAGGCCGTCGCCTGAGCTGAGAGAAAAGTCCTCTGTTTGCATACACATCCTTGAGGGGAGAAGTGCTCAGTGCCTGCTGTGAGACTCCACAAAAATCACTGACCCCCAGCGGAGCGCAGGCTGCAAGTCTGCACACAAGCACTGTGCGGAGCTCGGAGCTGCCGAAACTCTGACAGATCCTCACCAAACGTGGCCACTGACCAACCCGAGCCTTGGCCTCCAGCACGCCGGGCTGCAGCCAGCCAGGGCCCCTTCAGGCCCGGCTCCCAGGGCACATTCCTCAGACCCCCGGGGTGGCGAGGTGGGGAAGCCAGGGCCAGTGCTCCCGTTCACTCCCGCTGGCTCTTCCCCAGGTGAACCTTCTCATCCCCGTCGCTTACTTGGTCTTCTGGGCGTTCCTGCTGGTCTTCAGCTTCATCTCGGAGCCCATGGTCTGCGGGGTCGGCGTGATCATCATCCTCACAGGGGTGCCCATCTTCTTCCTGGGAGTGTTCTGGAGAAGCAAGCCGAAGTGTGTCCACAGACTCACAGGTGAGCCAAGCGGCCTCCCCGAGGTGGCCGGGGCCTGGAGGCCGACCTTCTTAGAGGCTCACCCCGGAGCTGGGTCTCCCGGCAGGACCCAGCCGCCACCAAATGTCTCCCCAAGATGGGCCGAAGTGTCTGGAACCCACCTGCACAGAAGGAGCGGCTCCCTGAAGACCCTTGCCCGGGGGAGGTGTCTGGAGGTGGGATTGCCCCCGTCCCAAGGGCTCAGGCCCCACGGTCCCTCTGTCTGTCCTCAGAGTCCGTGACACACTGGGGCCAGGAGCTGTGTTTCGTGGTCTACCCCCAGGACTCCCCTGAGGAGGAGGAAAACGGCCCCTGCCAACCCTGCCCACTGCCCGCCACGGACAAGCCCTTGAAGGCACAATGAGACATTTGTAGAGACTGAAGCAGCTGTTTCTGTTTACATGTTGTTTATTGAGGAGGTGTTTTTGCAAAAAAGTTTTGGTTTTTTTTTTCTGGAAAAAAAAAAAAGATACGACTCTTAGAGGCCTGTTGTAAGGAAGCCCTGAAGGTGTGGTCTGGGTTTCCTGTCTTAGCACTGCCCTGCTAGCTTTTCCTGAAAAGGCCTATAAATAAACAGGGCTGGTTGTTCACGTGTGCTCAGGGACTCCCTGGTGGAAGCAGGCAGGGGCGGCGGGGGCGTGCCTCAGTGGGGCACACATGTTGCTGGCGGGGCGGTGCCACGGCAGACTCTCCAGGAGATTCTTGGCATTTGGGGGCTTTGCTGCTTGACCCAGGCACTCCCTCCCGTGCAGACCAGAGTCCCCTTGCCCCGAAGGGACGTCAAGGATGGGGAAAAGCTCGGCCCACCCCTCACCCCGGCCCTCAATGCCAGCCACCCAGGAGAGCCCAGGCATTCCCGGCGCGGAGGGTCTTTTTCCCCATAAGCCACCAAGAGTGCATTTCAGGACTTCAGAGCCCAGTCTCCCCCTGGTTTACAAGAGGGGAAATGGAGGTCCTGGGACAGGAGGGAGCACATTGGACACCGCCCGTTGGTGCCTCGGCCTCTGTGCCCTGAGAAGGCGCAGAGCAACGTGTCTCGGGGCCTTGGGGCCTGCCAGACACACAGGGGGCTTCCTCTACCCCACACCCTCATTCCCAGCCCTGCCAACCGAGCCCAGGAGATTGACCCGCAGCCAGAGGGCAAAGGGCGCCATCCACAGGCGTGAGGGTGGGGCCAGAAGCCTCCCAGCACAGCTCCTCTGGGCACTCTGCTGGGAAGGGGGCAGGAGGGCACAGTGTGGACAGAGCAGTCACCAGGGACGAGGCCCAATGTCCTCTTGCCCTGGTCAGTCCTCACTACAACTCCCGGCCCAGCTCTCGGGGGCAGCTGGTGACACCGCAGGGAGAATGAAGCCAGAGGTCACAGAAAACACACCAGAGAGCCTGGCCCTGGGCCCTGCTTCTCTGGAAATGGATTTCCAGAATGGAGCAGGGGGGAGAGAGGGGAGGGTCCATGGCGCTTGTGGACACTGGGACCCCGCAGACGGGCTCACACTCCACCAGCCCCCCTCCCTGTTCAGTCCCCCAGGGCCCTGCCCACCGTGCCCACCAGGGCTTTGAGGCGTGCCGAGGCAGCCAGCCGGGGGCCCAGCCCCTCCGCTGGGGTGCTGGCTGGGCCTCTCCCTAAGAAAGGACGCAGAGTCGGGGTAGAAACAACTGTGTATTCCCTGGTTACAAAGCGGGGCTGTGGCGGTCACCAGCATGCCTGGCGGGTCAGCAGACCAGCAAGGCCTCGTCGTCACTGGCCTCCAGTGCCAGGGAGCAGGGCGGCGGGGGGCTCCTGCAGACCCCCCGTGGCTCTGGCGAGTGGGGGTCTGGGGTGCTGCCGGCCGTGGGGGCCTGG